AGGGTGATATAGGGATAGATCACTGGGATAGATCACAACTGTAGGGCGATATAGGGATAGATCACAACTGTAGGGAGATATGGGGATAGGTCACAACTATAGGGAGATATAGATAAAGGTCACAACTGTAGGGGGATATAGGGATAGGTCACAACTGTAGGGAGATATAGGGATAGGTCATAACTGTAGGGTGATATAGATATAGGTCACAACTGTACATGTAGGGAGTAGGTCACAGCTATAGAGATATATAGGGTTAGGTCACAACTGTAGTGAGATATAGGGATAGGTCACAGCTGTACATGTAGGGAGTAGGTCACATCTGTAGTGAGATATAGGGAAAGGTCACAACTGTAGGGAGATATGGGGAGAGGTCACAACTGTAGGGAGATATAGGGATAGGTCATAACTGCAGGGAGATATAAGGATAGGTCACAGCTGTACATGTAGGGAGTAGGTCACAGCTGTAGGGAGATATAGGGATGGGTCACAACTGTAGTGAGATATAGGGATAGGTCACAACTGTAGGGAGATATAGGGATAGGTCACAACTGTAGTGAGATATAGGGATAGGTCACAGCTGTACATGTAGGGAGTAGGTCACATCTGTAGTGAGATATAGGGAAAGGTCACAACTGTAGGGAGATATGGGGATAGGTCACAACTGTAGGGAGATATAGGGATAGGTCATAACTGTAGGGAGATATAAGGATAGGTCACAGCTGTACATGTAGGGAGCAGGTCACAGCTGTAGGGAGATATAGGGATGGGTCACAACTGTAGTGAGATATAGGGATAGGTCACAACTGTAGGGAGATATAGGGATAGGTCACAACTGTAGTGAGATATAGGGATAGGTCACAGCTGTACATGTAGGGAGTAGGTCACATCTGTAGTGAGATATAGGGAAAGGTCACAACTGTAGGGAGATATGGGGATAGGTCAAAACTGTAGGGAGATATAGGGATAGGTCATAACTGTAGGGAGATATAAGGATAGGTCACAGCTGTACATGTAGGGAGTAGGTCACAGCTGTAGGGAGATATAGGGATGGGTCACAACTGTAGTGAGATATAGGGATAGGTCACAACTGTAGGGAGATATAGGGATAGGTCACAACTGTAGTGAGATATAGGGATAGGTCACAGCTGTACATGTAGGGAGTAGGTCACATCTGTAGTGAGATATAGGGAAAGGTCACAACTGTAGGGAGATATGGGGATAGGTCACAACTGTAGGGAGATATAGGGATAGGTCATAACTGTAGGGAGATATAAGGATAGGTCACAGCTGTACATGTAGGGAGTAGGTCACAGCTGTAGGGAGATATAGGGATGGGTCACAACTGTAGTGAGATATAGGGATAGGTCACAACTGTAGGGAGATATAGGGATAGGTCACAACTGTAGTGAGATATAGGGATAGGTCACAGCTGTACATGTAGGGAGTAGGTCACATCTGTAGTGAGATATAGGGAAAGGTCACAACTGTAGGGAGATATGGGGATAGGTCAAAACTGTAGGGAGATATAGGGATAGGTCACAACTGTAGTGAGATATAGGGATAGGTCATAACTGTAGGGAGATATAAGGATAGGTCACAGCTGTACATGTAGGGAGTAGGTCACAGCTGTAGGGAGATATAGGGATGGGTCACAACTGTAGTGAGATATAGGGATAGGTCACAACTGTAGGGAGATATAGGGATAGGTCACAACTGTAGTGAGATATAGGGATAGGTCACAGCTGTAGGGAGATATAGGGATAGGTCACAACTGTAGGGTGATATAGGGATAGGTCACAACTGTAGGTAGATATAGGGATAGGTCACAGCCGTATATGTAGGGAGTATAAAAGTAGGGAGTATAAAAATAGGGATACTTGTGGCAAATATGGGGAGATAGAGTCTCATGTGACATTGTGCTTACCACTTTATGATCATCACAGCCATAGCTAAACTACACAATTGGTGAGAACAGTGTAATGTTTGCGGTTTGTCTGTAGAAAGGTTTTGTTATGATTAATTGATGAGTTTGACAGTAAGGGGGAGTATGTGGTGGTTTTCTGCTGTGCTGTCTGTTGATCTGACTTGAGCTGTCCCACAACAGGTGGCAATGCATGACTGAAATGTAGCTCACATATTCACACCTCTTGTTTTGCTGAGGCCAAAAATATATATGGAATTGGATAAAAAAAAAAAGGAAAACATACATTTGTACAACAAATGCCAATCAATACACTGTACAGAGTGAGTTTTTTATGGGGAGAAAATGTCACTGTCGAACGCTGGTATTAACAGCTTTTCCCTCAAAGCCAGGCTTCTAGTCCAAACCTTGCCTCATTAATGATGCTTCATACAGCAGACTTACCGCTCCTTTCCACTGTCAACTTGTTTTTGCAGTGTAAGGGAAATTGTGGATATTTAAATGAAGTGTTGGTTTGTCAAGGGCAGCCCTCTGGCATGCTGTAATGATGCGATGTCTAATTAAAGGCTGTTCATCCTGACAACACCAATAACTAATTAACACATTTAATTTTCTCTCATTTTCATCAGGCCAAATATATAAGTTTCATAAGAATAATCTAGTTTTTGATTACGACTTATGTTTTTAAATTTTTTTCTGGTGAATTAACTTTGCTTTACCAAGTACAGGTGAAAACCTTTTATTTGAAATGCATATTTGCTTTAACTTTGATATTTTCTACACTTACTAAGGAAAAATAATTTGAGAAGGAAATATTACATGTTAAGATATACTATTAAAGAGATTTCTACTGTAAAAGTCCATGTAAGTGTTAAGCTGAACAATTAACACCAAAAGATTGTGGCTTCATCCCCAACGATTTCAACCGCAATAAATTATTGATGTAATACAGTGCTTTCATTGTTCATTGAGCCTGGTGCATTTGGTGTATTGCTGCAGTTGCCTAATATAGAAGCTATTTTCTGTAGATTAACCTATCCAGTGAATGTTGTCTGATATAAAAGTTTCTACCCATTTACGGCTCATTGATACAGCTGGAAGTCTTATAATGATTATGTGTCATTATAAAATGCAAAAACAAAGCTTATATCATACAGTTTTTTTTTTTTTGTTCGAAGATCCAAGATATGCATGCTTGTGAAGAAGCCAAAGAGAAGTTACCAGCAGGCTTCAAGAACTGGCAATTAACATTGTAACTTAATTTACGAACAGTTTTTGAGTTGTAAAAATAATGTTGTGATTATTTTTAATGCCTTTGATATTGGTAGCTTTGTGTTATTGAAATCAATAGGTTGTGAAGAAATGTTCATTTTGAATGTAACTTACAAATTAGGATTGGAAAATAATTGTGTCTGGAGGCCAATTGTTTGATCATTGTTGAATTCATTACTTGTCATACTATTGCATATGGCCAATGTGCTTGACATTTATAAATGCTGTAAGGTAGTTGAATTGTGGAATGTGTGATACCATGGACTGCTGAAATGGTATTCTGGATTTTAGTTTGGCAGCTTGTGGCTGGTTATACTGTGAAATTATCAATTTTGGTGGAGCTGAATTTTCATGGTTTTTGAAATTATTTTGTGGATATAAACATAGTTATACTGACTTTAACATTCATGGAGATAAAAAATTGTTGATTAAGAGTGCCCACGGAATGAATGAAAATAAAACCCCCATGAAAAAAATTAATGCTTTCAGAGTTTATTGTTTATATTAATTAATTTTGGAAAACTCTTTGACAAAATGATCAATTAAAATTGTTACATGTATATAAGTAAACAGGGAAACTGAATATTTGATAACAAACGCTTAAGTAAAGTCTCAAATATTCTTACTTTTATGAACAATCAACCAACACCTGTTATAAAGAAAAATGATGGTAATCATTGTATATAATATACTAAAAAACTTTTGTTTAAAGACTGTAGGGGTTGATTTTATGCCATTCTATTATGAAATATTACGCTAAGATTATTATATGAAAATACCTTGCATGACCTTTAGAATTGTAAGGTCAATTTCACTATAATTGTTTACGGAAATTTTGTCAAACAATTGTCACTTATTTACATGGAAATTGGTGAATTCCTGTATTACATTTTCTATTTTATCGAGAGTGTTTTAGCATAATTTCTAAACACTAGTAACGGTACTCCTGGCAGTGTAAGAGATTCCAACATTCCACCAAGAGAGGTTAGGTGCCTAATGTGCACATAAAGTAGTGGTAGTATTACACTTCAATACCAGTAGATATAATGCTCTTGTCTGTTATCTCTAGGGTTGTTCTGCTCTCTTGAAACTGTCTCTCAATGATAACAAATAGTGCTTGCTTTATTCTGTCATCTGCTCCCATTTCTGGCTGCTGTCACTGCCAGTATTTAATCTACAAATAAAGACCTGATCAGATATCAGATAATCAAGGCTGGACCCAGCAAGGCATGACTCTGTTAAGTGGAGACCATACATGTTGTTATTTTATCAGTGATTGTTAATCCTAACGATATTTTTCCATTAAATTGGTTTTATTTCAAAGTCTGTTCATGTTTTGTCATTGGTTTTGATAGTTGCTAAAGTACTTAAAAGTGTATATAATTTATCAACAGTCACTTAAAGAAATCCACTTTCTATAGGTTATGGAATTACTTCAGGATTCATGATAAATTGAAATAAAAATCCTGTGTTTTCTTCCTCGTGGTTTTTGGATGATAACCTTCATATTGATAATCACCATAGTCGGAGTCCATTTTGTTTTATCTTACTGTTTACATACTTATTTTGACACAATCAAATGTTTTAGCAAATAATTTAATGAAATGATGAACATGTGTATTTGAAATAATTGCTAAATGGATGAAATAAAGAGACTGCTGTTAATGCAGTCCTATTTCAGGATAATGTCTTTGGCACGAAAATCACTTATATGTACTGTATTTTATTTTTCATATTGTGACAAGATATTGTACAACATTTTCCTTTTCTGTGTTATTAAATAGGAAATGTCTTTACATTTCAGAGGGTAAAAGGATATCTCAGTCAACAACCATTGATGTTTTACTGAGACAGAACTTTCAAATCTCAATCAACGATGAGGTCCATCAATTTTCCCCACCTGATTACAGTAAGTGATCTTGTCTCTTTTCTAATATATTATTAAAGTGGAGACTCTGTGACATATTACTATCTATTCATTAATCTAGTTCTGAATTTGTAACATTATATATCTATATTCACATTCAATTTTGTCTAAATTCTGCTGCTTTGATATTGATCAATAATGCTGACATTTGTATGTGACCTTGACACTGATCTGTATAATGGTAACATTTGTCAGTAACCTTGGCTTTTGTCAATGACCTTGTACTTTCAGTCAACTTGACATTTGGCTGGCTGGTCATTCTATGAAATATAGGGGTGACTTTGATTATTGCCTGTTATTTTGACATGTGTCAGTAACCTTGACATTTGTCTGTAACTTTTACAATTGTCAGTAACCTTTACAATTGTCAATAACCTTGACATTTGTCTGTAACCTTTACAATTGTCAGTAACCTTGACATCTATTTGTAACCTTTACAATTGTCAGAACCTTGGCAATTGTCTGAAACTTTTACAATTGCCAGTAACCTTTACAATTGTCAGAGTAACCTTTACAATTGTCAGTAACCTTGGCAATTGTCTGAAACTTTTACAATTGTCAGTAACCTTTACAATTGTCAGTAACCTTTACAATTGTCAGTAACCTTTACAATTGTCATTAACATTTACAGTTGTCAGTTACCTTTACATCTGTCTGTAACCTTGGCAATTGTCGGTAACCTTTACAATTGTCAGTAACCTTGACAATTGTCTGTAATATTTACAGTTGTCACAATTGTCTGTAACCTTTACAATTGTCTGAAACCTTTATAATTGTCTGTAACCTTTACAATTGTCAGTAACCTTTACAATTGTCGGTAACCTTTACAATTGTCTGTAACCTTTAGAATTGTCGGTAACCTTTACAATTGTCTGTAACCTTTACAATTGTTGGTAACCTTTACAATTGTCAGTAACCTTTACAATTGTCAGTAACCTTGACAATTGTCTGTAATATTTACAGTTGTCAGTTACCATGACATTTGTCTAAAACCTTTACAATTGTCGGTAACCTTTACAATTGTCAGTAACATTTACAATTGTCAGTTACCATGACATTTGTCTGAAATGTTTACAATTGTCGCTAACCTTTACAATTGTCAGTAACCTTTACAATTGTCATTAACATTTACAATTGTCAGTTACCATGACATTTGTCTGAAATGTTTACAATTGTCGGTAACCTTTACAATTGTCAGTAACCTTTACAATTGTCATTAACATTTACAATTGTCAGTTACCATGACATTTGTCGGTAACATTTACATTTGTCTGAAACATTTACAATTGTCAGTAATTTTTACATTTGTTGCCATCCTTGACATTTTTGGTATCCTTCACATTTGTCAGGAACTGATAAATCATTTAGTGAAGCTCTCATTGATGATGGTATTTAGATTCTTTCTCTCATATCACATATACTGTTTAGCCTGCATAGTTGTTTTGTAAGCTGAGGCTATCCTAAACCAACATTCTTGGATATGTTAAATTCATTATTTTTATAAAACGTGTGTACTGCTGAACTTCCTGCAGTGTAGTAAACAAGCTATGGCCTGTATGTGTGTATACTCCTGGCAACTGCTAAATATGTGTGGTGGCTGTGGTATATAAGGTTTATGATAGACATACACCTCCAGTAATTGTTGTCACACATGTTTCCAATAAGTGACAGATGATGTCATCTTCTAGACTGGGCTTTAAAGATGATTTGCTAGTGCCAGTACTTAAATTACTGCATGTTGTCACTCTTGTCATGTAAGTGAGTTAACCATGAAAGTGAATCTTCTGTATATTTCCATCAGTCTGACAGGCACTGCACTGAGGCTCTTTAATAAATATGAGGGAGTTTATAGCTTTGTTTTTCTATTCCTGAAGTCGACCAATTTTTCATGTTTGATCAGTTTCAGTTAAATTTGAATGCAATATAGTTTATGACACATTTTTATACATGCTACTTCATGCTAATTAAAGGTTAATATAAAGGTTAAGGAGGTTATTTAAGAGATAATCTTCTCTTTGATAGGACTGTAGGTCTCCAAGCTTAATTAATAATAGCTGCTCTGTTGTACTGCAGCTACCGAAACAGTGGCTATGTATTTACTAAAATTTGATTACAATTTTTATCATGTCAAGGTCAGTAGACTAAAAGTCAAGATCAAAGCATCACTTTACGAATGAACATCTGATCATATTTTGTTGAAACATCATAAATATGAGTACAGTTATCAGACAATAAGTCACAAATGACCTACTACAGGACAATGCATATTTATCAAGGTCAGTGTAACATAGTTTTAAGGTAAAGGTAAATTTCTTAATTATCCAGACTGTAGTGAAGCAAACTCAATAATCAGTGAGCATGTTATGTAATATGACTTTCTCTGTTGTGTAGATTTAGCAAAACCATTATACAGAACTGTTTATTGATGATATCTGTATATTGGTGATATCAGTATATTGGTGATATCAGTATATTGGTGATATCTGTATATTGGTGATATCTGTATATTGGTGATATCTGTATATTGGTGATATCAATATATTGGTGATATCAATATATTGGTGATATCAATATATTGGTGATATCAGTATATTGGTGATATCAATATATTGGTTATATCAGTATACTGATGATATCAGTATATTGGTGATATCAATATATTGGTGATATCAGTATATTGGTGATATCTGTACATTGATGATATCTGTATATTGATGATACCTGTATGTTAGTGATATCAGTATATTGTTGATATCAGTATATTGGTGATATCAGTATATTGATGATGTCAGTATATTGTTGATATCAGTATATTGGTGATATCAGTGTAGTGATGATATCAGTATATTGTTGATATCAGTATATTGATGATATCAGTATATTGATGATGTCAGTATATGTCAGTGATATCGGTATAGTGATGATATCTGTATATTGATGATATCTGTATATTAGTGATATCAGTATATTGATGATGTCAGTATATTGGTGATATCAGTATATTGGTGATATCAGTATATTGATGATGTCAGTATATTGGTGATATCAGTATATTGTTGATATCAGTATATTGGTGATATCAGTGTAGTGATGATATCAGTATATTGGTGATATCTGTATATTGTTGATGTCAGTATATTGGTGATATCAGTATATTGTTGATATCAGTATATTGGTGATATCAGTGTAGTGATGATATCTGTATATTAGTGATATCAGTATATTGATGATATCAGTATATTGATGATGTCAGTGTATTGGTGATATCAGTATATTGTTGATATCAGTATATTGGTGATATCTGTATATTGGTGATATCAGTATATTGGTGATATCTGTTATTGGTGATATCAGTATATTGATGATATCAATATATTGGTGATATCTGTATATTGGTGATATCAGTATATTGATGATATCAGTATATTGATGATGTCAGTATACTGATGATGTCAGTGTATTGGTGATATCAGTATATTGTTGATATCAGTATATTGGTGATATCTGTATATTGGTGATATCAGTATATTGGTGATATCTGTTATTGGTGATATCAGTATATTGATGATATCAATATATTGGTGATATCGGTATAGTGATGATACCTGTATGTTAGTGATATCAGTATATTGGTAATGTCAGTATATCCTGTTACTTTAGGTGATTGATTCTAAAGCCATCAACATATGTGTATTGCTGTACAATGTATTACACACCAGGTTACTACTATGTTGATATTCTCACTGGGGCTAAGCTTCCCTTTTATAAGGTTTTAAATCTCATAAACTTTCATCACTGTGAAAAATCATAATCTGGAGACAAGAAGAGAAGACTCCTGTAAAATTTTCTTTTAGTCAGAAAATTCTTTGTTTCCACTTGGAATTGTTTTATTAGAAATTGTGTTCAGAATGGAAAATCTTAATTATAATGTTAGATTATGCTTTTTCTCAGAAAGCATTCATTTCAAGGCTGCATGAGGTACACCCAAGTGGTGATGTCATTTGAGCCAGCAACAGGAGAAAATGGCTCGTTTCTTTCTCATTCACACATCAAAAATAAATCTGTGATATATTTCCGAGTATGCCACTACTTTCTCAATTTCTCTGCTTACTTTAAAACTTAATGACATCTCTGCCTCAGTGTTGTATGTATCATTGAAACATAGGTTGACTACACAGTTTGATGTCCTGCCTGATGACACTAAAAGGATTGTATTTGCTTAATGTTATCAATGCCAGTCTACGCTTCTATTGTGCATGAACGGAATACTGCATCAGAGGGGGGCAATGTCTTCCATTGCATTATTGATGAGCACTCAAAGACTGGAACAGAATGTCATTTATATGTAAATATATTTATAGAACAGGAATGCTGAATCTTTAGCCTGTTAGAGAAAAGACATCTGTGGTACAATATATAAAGGCATATTTTCTATACATGGCACACTTGGTTAGTTTTAAATGTATTCTGGTGATTGAGATAACAACTTTCAGATTTTAATTCAATAAAAAGTAATTAAGGGTCATTGGGGCGGTTGTTTAGTCATTGATTTCTCAAGTGATAAATATTTTGAATAAATTTAGTGAAATTATGAAGCATATTGATATGAATCTGATATGTAGTGATTAGTGACCAAAGGTCAGCTATGGTCTTTTAAAGATCAAGGTCGACTTACTAGCTCACATAGCCATCATCAGGTGGTGGGCTGTTCAAATCACCCTTCACCTGTGGTCCATCTGTACACCCGTCGTCTGTCTGTAAACCAATCATTGTTGTAGCTCTTACTTGAGTAGTACTGGAGGAATATTTCTCAGACTTAATATATAGATTCCCAATGGTACATAGTTGTGCCCATTGCATTTTGAGTCTTATCATTGGATTGGATATGGCCAACAGGTGGTCATCTTGGATTTTAACTGTTGAAGTTTGTTATTGTTGTTTCTTCAGAAATACCAGCAAGATATTTCTGAAACTTTATGTGT